TATATATATATATATATATATATATATATATATAATCAGGGAATCAGTAATCAGGGATAATGAATGGCAGCTCTGATGACATTGTATGCCAGTGTACCCAGCTATTGCTTCTGATCTCTGATCACTGCCATAGCAATATAATGCCATTCAGGGGTGGACTGACAACTCATGGGGCCCCCGGGCAATAGGGGATCATGGGGCCCCTGTGTCCTTTCCCAAACTCAAAAAAGCCTATGGAAATGGTACCAGGGGCATCTCATGGGGACCCCTACTGACCCGGGCCCTCGGGCAGTGCCCAAGTTTCCAAATGGTCAGTCCACCCCTGATGCCATTGGCCCTGTACCTGGATCTGTGATCAGCTATGTCCAAGCCTGCCAATGGGCACCCTAGACATGCATGAGTAGCATGAGCAAGCTGACATACAGGTACATGAACCCACCATGGCCAGATAGGAATCAAGTAAAGAAAACTTTTATTTATTACTTGTCAGGTTGCTTTAACTGACATAATATGCAGATCGAATCTCATCCATTTGATCTACAGATAAATGAAACCTAATAAATAAAAATGTTACTTTGTATCTCTCCTTCTTGCATCTGTACAGTGTTTATAACATTATATCATATAATCCTAGATTGTAAGCTCCAAGGAGCAGGGCCCTCATATCCCTTTTGTATTGAACTGTATTGTTGCTGTATTGTCTCTCGTTATATTGTAAAGCGCTGAGCAAACTGTTGGCGCTATATAAATCCTGTATAATAATAATATAATTCATTTTTGAAAGTAGCAGCTCTTGTAGCTACAGTATTTATACAGCAACTCCTGACTGTCGTTTTGACAGTTGGAAATTGCCTGAAAGTGCAAGGGGGCAGAAGGACAGGTCATACAGACCCTGTATACTATTCAGTGCTCACAACTGGTTAAAGAGGGAAACTAATTTGAAAATTAGCATGCAACATGTTGACTCACAGAAAGCTCTGTAAAAGAAGAAAAATGAGAACTCCTACTGCATTTTGGGAGCTGACCTTTTTCCTGTTGTGAACCCATGTTATATTGACATGCCCTTGTACTGATGACACTGTGAGGTTTATTTACTAAAGCTCAAGAGTGCAAAGGTAGGATCACTTCTGCATAGAAACCAATCAGCTCCCAGATTTTATTGTCAAAGCTTAATTGAACAAGCTGAGGTTAGAAGCTGATTGGTTTCTTTTCAGAAGTGAGCCTGGTTTTGCACTCTCCAGCTTTAGTAAATAAACTCCTGTATGTCAGTGTAGCCAGCCATTGTCTGTGTTCACTCCCACAGCAATATGGTGTCACCATAGATTGTCTGAAATTTTAGGAATAATGTAATGAGGCCATTTAATCCATAATACTTTGTGGAATTCTGCTATACAGATGAACTTCAGACAAGGAGCTAAAAGCACAGATAAAACAGATATATAGGAGCTGTTTCCAAACCATCCCTATGATTGGACAGTGAAAGGAGAAGCACACTCTCTGTTACTCTGCTTTCTCCTCCTGTAAGCATGCTCCTTTACTGCAGCATGCCCAATTGGCTTCTTTTTCTTCTTCTCCCTCCCCCACCCAGAGCTCTGCTGTACAGGTTGTACAATAATAAAACATGGTAAACATATAATGGGGTTACTAAACAGAAATAAACCTGTGTCTACACCAAACATCTAATCATCTACACAAGAAATTAAAATTTTAGGAACTTCTCCTAAATGTGGTTGGACGCATGAGGCAAATACAGGCCCATTTCATTTCACCTCACATTTTTTTTAAATAAATCTACCTTCCCCCAAACTATGATAAAGGGGATGCCTTATGACCCCAAAACATGTTTTCTATTTGCTTGGAATTTATCTGTTTTAATAAAACTTACATTTGGACTTCTGTAAATCCCGTCTTGTGGAAGTTTCCTTACACATTAGCTACCTACCTAATGCCTAAAGCGCTCTCTTATTGTTCTAGTGACTTTTGCAACTGAAACTGAAAAGTGAGAGAAAGTCTAAAATGTTACCATGGTCATGTCAATTGTCACTAGAGTAGATATCTTCTAGGAAAGAGGATCTCAGTGTACATGTGCTCCAATGACGACTGTTTGAGAAAAGACTTCTTATACTTTGGAGAGATCTCCTTTTATTTCCTGTTGTGTCTCAGGACAGGAAGAGAAGAAAATGTTATCAATGGGGGACACGGACAGCTTGAAAAAAGGGTATTTAACCATTCCATACCACTCCAAACTTTTAAAAAAAGTTTTGGCTTTAGACATGATATTTGGTCCACTCCTGCTTCTTTCATTTTTTGTTTTTAAACATTGGGGTCGGTTTACTAAAGGCAAATAGGCTGTTCAACGTGCAAGGGAAGTTGCACATTGCAAGGGAATTTTCAGCAGCGAAAACTGCATTTTTGCTTGCACATGATTGGATGACAGAAGACAGCAGGGCTTCACTTCATTCACTAAGCTTTGGGGAATGTTCCCTAACAAAATGCAACTTCCCTTGCAAAGTGAATATTCTTTTTGCCTTTAGTAAATCAACCCCATTGTCTCAAAAGAACACATGATGACCAAAACATCAGACATTCTATATTAATACTTTCTAAGATTTTCTTTTACTCCAGCTCTCTGAACCCCCACATATGTTGTCCAAATAATACAATGTTTTGTATTACCACACAGAATTCTAGGAATTACAGATATTTAAAGAATGACACATTGCTGGAAGACAATCAATGCATTTTATTGTGCACACCTTCCAGGAACAGCAGTCTTTACTAACATTCTATTGTACTTGATAATGAGATTATACTCTAAATACATTAGAACATCTAGTTATACTATGAAAGGCAGGACTGACAGATAAATGTGTAATGCGTAATACAAGCACTGTAAGTTCAAAAAAAGAAGTTGGCTGTATGGGCTTTGGGAAATAAGAATGTTCCTGAAACATGTTATCACCCACCTTGCACATCTATTCCACTATTTCTTTGTCCTTGAAGCACATCTAAAGCTAAAACTTTTTTTTTTAGTTTTGGATAAAGTGGGAAAAGAATCGAACCCCTGCCACGTTTTTTTGCCTTCTGTGTCACACAATGTCACCTTTGTCACCATTGAGATAGAAAGCAACATTGTTATCACTGTAACAAACACAGAGATGGTAAATCCATAATTTTGTAGTTGTCACCAGAATAAGACTTGGGGGTAAATCTTTCAATTGGGACAATAGCAGCACCTTTTACAATGACAGCTGTCTAAAGCTGACCATAGATAGAGCAATTTTCTTTCCTGCAAGCACAGTCAGATGGGGGAATCCACTGCGTTCTCCCGGCAGTGACAGCTTCCCCTCTCCCAGGAGAACACAGTGATTACTGTTAGTGGCTATAATAGCTGCTAGTGATAATCACATGTCAGATCCAAACAGGCTGGTTGTACCCAAGCTGATCGATCAATCAATCAGCCTGGGTACATTCAGCTTACCCATACATGATTCAAATCTCAGCCAGTCCCTGTTGAACCAGCCAAGATTCAAACAGTCTATGGGCCGGATTTAGAGGGAAAATCCCCACACATTGTAGAGTGACGAGATGAACACTCAATTTGGACCACAGAAGGAAAACATAAAGTGACAGGTGCTTTATCCCTACACTAAAAAAAGAAAAATGTTTTGGCTTTACATACACTTTATGTAACAGTCCCAAAAAAACCCCACCACCCCCATTCTAGAAATAAGTGGAGAATCTCCAACACCCACAAACAGGCAATGTGGCTGGAAGATATACATTTTGAAAACCTGAGGATGGACCTAAAAATAACAGTACATAGTTTGGTGAAATGGGAGTTGGAGGTGCTTCATGTGTTGAAAGTCTACTTTGTTAGGAATGCATAGGTTTTTTGGAGTTTTGTTTTTTCTTTTTTACAATTATTGATTATCCTAATTTGTATCATGTCCATGACTACACTTCATTTAAGTCTTTAGGTCAGCCAAATATTCAACATTCCATAATTTCTACAGGCTCATTAAACACCTGCTGCTCTGGAATATCAAAAGGAAAAGCAGAGGATATCAGATCTCACATACTACATAATGAAAAGTGTCATAAATGCATCATTTTATTCTACTGTCACAGGTAATTGCAAGAAAAAACTGTTTACCCCAAAAAAATTATACAAAAACAGAAATGTATAAATATGAGCCTTTTCAAAAATTACAAAATTCAAAAACATTATTTTCTTTTTTATATATATATATATATATATATATATATCTTGGGGCACACACCTGTAGGTAACTAAAGGACAAATGCATAGGTTAGACCAGTCAACCTTCTATAAGTTTGGAAATTTCGTCTTTTTTTTTTTTGAGGTGGGAAGAGGGAATCACTTTCCTGGTAAATGTTTTGAAGTCTTTCATATGTCATGTCTTGAAATGTGCTAACTCCTTTGTAATAAAGGTTGTGTGTCTTTGATTGCATTTCACAGTGTACCATTAATCCATAACGAAACTGAAGTGAGTACACTTAGCAAACCTACACCACCATTATATATTAAATGTATACCTGCACGAAGAAATTAATTCACTGGATTGATTTACGAAAGGAGCAGAGGATGTTAGCTCAGCAAAGTTTTTAATACCCAATTATTTGCAAGGGCAATAAAAAAACTTTGTTTTGCACATGGTTGGGTGATTGACATGAACATAGTTTTCCATTGCTAAATAAATATTATCTACTTGTTTAGGCAATCACATTCAAATATCTTAACATATATCATTTCTAATGTAGGTAGTATAAAAAAGATAAAATAAACAAAAAATGTTAAATGTACCAGCTTTTATTTTTTTGTACAAAATAATATATTGTTGCTTTAGGAAATAAAGTCTTCTAGTTAAAAAAACACTATAGAAACATAATGAATGTACATTCATTCTACACAGTTCTGAGAAAATCTATGTATTTGCTAAGATAAGGCAACTTGTTTTTTTAGAACAAAAGCAACACTAGTGATGTTCTTGGTTCAATCTAGAGTAAAGTCCAGAGAAATTCATTGTATCTTTGCGTGGGTAATAAGATGCATCCCTTAACATTCCAGGGAATGCATAATCCATGCCGGGGCGAAAAGGAAAAGATGGAACAAAGCTGTAAGGGGATATAAACCCAGGAAGTCCTCTGTTAGTTGTGGAATAAGTAAAGTGTAATGGATTTAGGCCAAGTCTAGAATGAAAGATATTTGTATCACTTCCAGCAGCCGATGGATTAGGATACAAAGGGGAAAACGCTGACTTAGAGCCAAAAGCACCAAAACCTAAGCCAGTAATATTGATTGTTGTGTCCTTTGTAAAGGTGTTGACATCTGATCCTGATGGAGTTTCATTTTCCTTCACAACTTGTTCCTTTCCATTTAAAACCATCTCTATGGCTTGAACAACATCTCCTTTGCAGAAGTGCAGGATGCTTTCTAATATGCTGTGTTTATGGTTTGGAAAAACTTTGCTAAGAATCTCCAGGGGATCTCTGTGCTTCATAGACACAACAGGGATGCTAATATTAGAGGCACAATGGTCTTTGGTCCACTCATTTTCATTACCTGATTCTTGATCAGAAGAAGACAGAGATCTTGGACTGTCAGCACATTCAGATCTTCCCTCAGAAAAAGGAGATTGAATGGAATTTTCTTTATTTGGAGTCTCCATATCTGAAGACTTCAACATTTGGCATGCATTCACTTGTTCTGCTAGAGATGTTTGTGACAAACTTTGAGAAAGCATGGATGAGCTTAATAATCTTCCATATAGGTGGTCATGTTTTTCTTTCGATTCACCCGATCCTAGATAAAAATAAATGAACAATATGTTTATTGTTTAATGATGAGAGCTCCATATACACAAATTAATGAATGCTAAACCAGGTAATACACTTAAACATAATAATTGAGTTTTAGAGAAATATCGGTGGGTAAACCAACTCACCTTATGAAAACGAACACAAGGGAGTGCCAGCTAAGTGCATCACCAAGGGGTTTATTATGAAGAAAAAGTCAAATACAAACTCACAGAAATATAATATCAAAGAGCTTATCTGCAGCCATGTCACCATGGATGGAAGCCGTCCTCCGGAAGAGTGGCTTGTAACAGTAAACAGGGTGTTGTCAGTGAGGAAACCAAGTCCAATGTTCCAGGAAGTGAGGAGAGCCACTGTGGATTGTAGAGCAAGATGTGATGTCATGCCTGGACTCGGGCAGGTTGGTTGCTTGCTATGATAAATCATTTCAGAGCTCCTTTTGGCTCCACAGTGGTGTTATGTGCAGGAGATGTGATTTTGTGTTTGTCTTTTCCTTTTCTCTCTCTCCGCATCTGAAACGAGTAACCATAGCAACCAGACATCACACCCTGCCCTGCAATCCACAGTGGCTCTCCTCACTTCCTGGAACATTGGACTTGGATTCCTCGGGGGGGGGGGGGGGGGGGGGGGGGGGGGGGGGGGGGGGGGGGGGGGGGGGGGGGGGGGGGGGGGGGGGGGGGGGGGGGGGGGGGGGGGGGGGGGGGGGGGGGACTGGCAACCCGCTGCTTGCATCCAATGTGAAATGGCTGCAGATACGCTCTTTGAGTTTATATTCCTGTACGTTTGCTGTTTAATTGTAATAAACCCCTTGATGCAGCACTCAGCTGGCGCACCCGTGTTCCTTTTTTAATTTCAGTGATTCATTGCTGTCTCAGGTGGACCTGCCTACTGAAATGGAACACCCTTCCTATGGGATCTAAGTGAAATTCTTATGAACAACTTATGCTATACAAGTGTATCTTCACATTAATATAGTGGGGTATAGGCTTACTTATGTGGATGGTGTATAAGCATCTGTTGGCGCCACAATTTAATTTGTTGTTTAAACCAATTCAATACCGGGCATTTTTACCCCCTTCCTGCCCAGGCCATTTTTTAGGTTTCAGCGCTCTCACACTTTGAATGACAATTGCACGGTCATGCAACATTGTACCCAAACTAAAATTGTATCATTTTTTTCACACAACTACAGCTTTGTTTTAGTGGTATATTAATCACCACTGGGGTTTTTATTTTTTGCTAAATTAACCAAAAAAGACAGAAAATTTGGAAAAAAAAACCCACGTTTATTTGTTTCTGTTATAAAAGTTTGCAAGTAAATAATTGTTCTTCATACATTGAGGCCAAGATGTATTCTACTACATTTCTTTGGTGAAAATAACCCAAATAAGTGTTTATTATTAGTCTGTAGGAAAGTTATAGAGTTCACAAACTATGGTATACATCTGAAAATTGATCAAACCTGGAAGTACTGACACTCAATCTAATTTCTTGAGCCCCAAAAATGTCAGAACAGTACAGATATCCCCCAAATGACCCCTTTTTGTAAAGTAGACAGTCCAATGTATTTCATAAGAGACATAGTGAGTTTTTGAAGTTGTAATTTTTTTTTCATAATATTTCGGAAAATGAAGAAATTCAAAACATTTTATCACATACTGTCACCAGTGCAGTACAACGTCATCATATAACTGGTGTGGTGGTGATCAGGGACACTGACTGGTGACAGTACAAAAAAAAAAATTGATAATTTTGTTTAAAAATTTTTTACATTTTTTATTATTTTTTTTATTTTTTATTACATTTTATTTCTCTTTTTTTAAGATTTCTTTTTCATATTACACTATGACCAAAGTAGTATAATGTTACCATAGTAACATTGTACTACTTTGGGGAAGTAATCAGTATTTTTTTTACACAATTTGATTGCTCATAGTAAAGAATTTCTTTGCTATAACCAAGCATTGAACTGAATGAAATTGATTCATTCAGCTTTTTATGTTGTGATTAGCTGTGATTGGCCATGCCTAATCACATGACACAGATGGGCTGTGACTGGCCCAGCCTGTGAATGTGATCACTGTGACCATTCACAGCTAGACACACTTGTATACAATGGATGGCATGAATGAAGCCATCCATTGTATACAACTGTCATGTGACCTGCTGTGATTGGTCACAACATGTCACATGGTACTAGCAGCGGGGTCGGTACAAAGATCTGTCATCGGCCGTGTCCGAGGTACACAGCCGTTCTCGCCACAGCGAGGCCCTGCGGGCACGCACAGGGTGCGATCCGGGAAGGACGTCATATGACGCCCTACCGAAAGGACGAAAGGTTTGCCCGACCATAATTTTACTATAGGCCGGGCGGGAAGTAGTTAAACAAACTCACTATTACTCACAAACTAGTTACACTGACCTGCTGAAGCTATTACAAAGAAGTGTTACATAGATTTACATTACTTTTTCCACAACAAGAAATGTGAAATTCTTGCTCCTGCATCAGAGAATTTATGGCGATATGATGTAGTATGGTGGATAAGTACTAAGCATATGACTATTGCGGTGCTGGTGTCCTATACTCAATTGTAGGCATTCCTGATGATCTTTCGCATTGAGTTTGTATGTATAGGTTTTATCCCACAACTCAAAACATACTAGCTGATTTGTTTATCTCTATTCACATTAGCACTGGTGTGTGAATCCTATCCTATGATGGAAATACTATTTTTGTGGACTTATCTTTTAACATACAGTATGGCAATTCTAAAATGTACTGTACATGCAAAAGCAAAGTTTATCATTTAAACATGTTCGGTTTAACCTCTTGGAGCTGGCGCATCCCAGCCCTTTAAGAGTTTCAGAAGTTGGGAGACGGGGTGGGGTTTTAGGGTCATGTGACCACTGTGATTCGCCGTCACAGCGGTCGCATGATCGGAAAAGGTCCCAATCGAAAGGGGACATCGGGACCTTTCTGGGATTTGCGGACATATGTGCAGGACGCGTGCTCTCAGCACATATGTATTTTCTAATTGCACGCAAATATGTGGCCGTTCGGCATCAAGGCCCAGACGCCGAGAGGCCGCATATTTGCGTGTGATCGGCATAAAGGGATTAAATTAAAGAAAAAGACATTGCTGTCTAACTGCAATTTAAAAAAAGTCTGTACCCCTAACCCCATCTAAATTGTAAAACAGAAAGTGCAGATATAGCAGACTTCTAAAGGCCATGCAGTGCTGAGGGCTTAAGCTCTGTGCTATTTTTCTTGCAGGTTTTGTGCTAAAAATAGAGCCTAACGAGCCACACCCCTTCTTTCTAACCGAGCAGAGACAGAAATATCAAAAAACATAACCTGACCTAAAACATAACCTGACCTGACTTAAATGTTTCTAAGGTAGTAACAGTGCTGAGGTGCAGACACAGCAAGCACTCACATTAATCTTCAAATAAATCCCTTTGTCCCTGTGGAGCCCATTGAATAGTAGCCCCAAGCCTTACATGGAACCTTTGGAAACCATGCTCAACATTATTCTTTCCTTTCGCTGGTTAATCATTGATTGGAGTTTGGCCAAATCAGCAGGAAACAATATGACTGCCTCCACTTGACAGAAGTCGACTGTTTGATTGACTTCTGTCGAAGTAACATACTGGAAAATGATTGTCCATCAGATGTTGCAACCAATCAGTGCATTCTATCATCAGTGTATTCTGACAGCATTGGGTTCTGTTGTCAGAATACAACGTCCGGGTGGTGGAATCCTCCACTCATTTTGTTTGTGTGGATGGAGAAACACTGGCTGAATGAAAAAAGCTAACATCTATGGGCAGCTAAGGTCCTTCTATCTGTAATTTGCCAAACTATTGTTTAATTAGAATTAACAAACTTCTTACCCACATGGAAGAAAGATATATTTTAAATACATTTAACAAATATTCTTCCCAAATATATTGACATATATTTGAAATACTACAATTTTGGCCGTATGCAATATAGTTAAAAAATATATTTATATATATATATATATACTGTATGTTGAAATGCATTTATACATTAAAAGATATATGAAAAATATTTTTAAAAATACATTTTCAAATATATGTCTTTGAAAATACATTTATTCTACATTTTTGGAGGACTGCATTTACAAATATATGTACAAATATATGTTAAAATGACTTTTTTTATATGCTAAAAAAAATCTGAAGAATATATTTAAAAAAATATATTTTTAAATATATGCCTTTAGAAAATATATTCAAATTTACATTTTTTAAAATACATGTTAAAATATATTAGCGTAGGCCAATATATTGTAAATATATGTTACATATATAATTTTTTTGCTAAATAATTTCTAAATATATTGGAAACAGGGGTGGACTGACAACTCATGGGGCCCCCGGGCAGTTGGGGATCATGGGGCCCCTATGTCCTTGCCCAAACTCAAAAAAAGCCTATGAAAAAGGTACCAGGGGCATCTCATGGGGCCCCTACTGACCCTGGGCCCTTGGGCAGTGCCCGAGTTTCCAAATGGTCAGTCCGCCCCTGATTGGAAATATATTTCTCTTCCATGTGGGTAACTTCTGAAGAATTTAAAAAAAATAACAAACCATTATATCATCCTAGTTAAAACAAAATGTAGCTATCTCAAGAATGAACTCAGTGTTAAACTGATCATGAAAGATGGGGGAGTGGTACAAATTGAGCAATGATTATTATGAACATATAATTCAATTAAATTAAGAAACAATGTGCTAGAGTATTTAAACACTATCTTTGGCAGACCAGTTATATCAGAACTCTGAATTGTTTGCATCAAAGCTGTGTACATTTTTTTTATTTGGTTATACAGGATTGCTGTACCCTGAAAGTGCACTTAAAGCTGATCTCCAGCTTTTAGTGAAGTTTAAATAATGTGTTTACACCAAGTTGGTCCAAATGAACTATTACCTTCACTAACATATGTAGCAGCTGTGTGCACT